GCGCTTCCCACCAGTAGGCAGTGCGCAGGCGCACCCGGTTTTTTAAGCCCTTCAACCTCCTCTTCCCTTCCCGTGATAGACCACTACCCCTACCGGACGGGACTCGCGCCTGCGCAATCAGGAGCCCTGCACTCCACACCCTCCGAAGGGAACGCCTCGGCCTCAGAGCGCATGCGTGTTGGGAATCCTGACCGCCCCTTCCACCTCAGACGTCGTCTGTACGCCGGGCGTTGAAAAGACCACGCCACTGTAGCGCTGGGCTCGGCTAGGACGCATGCGTCTTGGGAACGCCCCACCTCGGCTTTAACTGGACTTAAACGACTCACACGTTTCAGAAAACTTGCATTGCGGGGTGGGCCCCTCGTCTCAAAGCCCATCCCCCCCCGTCCACGCATGCGCGCAAGAGCTCTTTCCGCTCACGCTTCCTAGCGCGCTAGTGTGGTCGGGTTACCGCCCATCTCAGCTTCACCTCCCGGCCTCAGGCCTGCCATAGAGTTTCGCCCGGGAGCTAGAGCGCCCGGGTCGCGGCCACCATCTTGTCGATTCCCTGGATGCGGGGCCGCCGGGGCGGCTGCCGTACGGCTGAGCTCTAGGGAGCTTGTAAGGCATTTATTTCTCCCCGATCCCGGTCCCCCGGCTGCTCCACAGCAGTTGTCTGCGAGCACCCTGGGAAAACTCTAAAGCAGACTGGCGTGTTACGGTCCGCTGACGCTCTCCAGGTCGTGGAAGGCGACCACGAAGCAGGGGACAACCCGTCTCTCGCGGTTTATTTCTCTGGCCCTCCTCCTAGGGAAGAAAGCTGCCGCTTTTCCCGCAACTCTGTGCTCTTCTTCCAGTTTCCAGGTTTCCGGCACTACCCTCGTGGCCACCTGCTTTGCTTCCGCAAACCAGGCGGGCAGCAGTCCTGTAGAGAAGACGAGCAGCCACATACCTGGGCTGGGAGTCCCCAACCCTGGATCTGGTTCTTGTTTTGTTTTAGAATCCCGTGACCTGGTAGATGCGTACCGCAAACACCGGCTTGAATTAATACGTTTATGCGGCGTGGTCCACTATCACTCCCCGTTCCTTCCACTCAGCTTTCTGAAGTTTCCGCGTTTTCCTTTGTAAAACGCAAAACCACCACTCCCCTCCTCCCCCCGTAAGGGTCTGGGCGCATTGTTTAAAGCCCCTACCTGCTCTTCTCAAAGATGTGTTTGTCCATATGACCCAACAACTCTCCT